ATTGTGAAAATAGTAGCGCAATTCATTCTATAGCGACGCAGTGTGCCTTAAACCTTTCCCAGACCTATATATTTTGAAATTATCCTTTTAATACTGAGTCCGCAGCATTCATAAAAAATGGTGTTCAAGGTACACTATCTATACAAATTATTTTTGCATCTTGGAAGCCAGGCAGTATCTGTGTGATTTTATAAAAATTCGGAAATGTTCTTCAGATATGAGCCCCCTCTAAATATTGGGTGCGGATGAGCTCCATAAACGTACCTCCGCACCCAATATTTAGAGGGGGCTCATATCTGAAGAACATTTCCGAATTTTTTAAAAATCACACAGATACTGCCTGGCTTCCAAGATGCAAAAATAATTTGCATGGGTAGTGTATCTTGAACACCATTTTTATGAATGCTGGGGACGCAGTATTAAAAGGATAGTCTCAAAATATATAGGTCTGGGAAATGTTAAAGGCATACTGCGTCGCTATAAAATGAATTGCACTACTATTTTCACAACTTTATTGATATTTGGTGTCAAATACACATATCTTGGTATATTTGAAGTCCCAAAACGGCTTAGTTTCAGAAATATCCCAATTTTAAATTCAAAAATGACCGTTAGCTCCGCACCCTCCGCTCATTTGCACCGCACCCAATATTTCCCACAGGCTCTGTCTGCATAGGGTGTAAATATAGACCTACAAACATGAATAATTTGTAATAAATTCTCTTCTTCCTTGTTTGTAAATCATCTTGACATTTTTAATACACTTGTCATGAGATAGAAATAGTATTCGGCGAAAACTACTTACAGTTATTAACAACACAATAAATAGTGACTTATTGTTGTTCTTGTCATTTTGATTTGAGTAAAGGAGTTAACGTGAAACATAAACTCCAGGTGCTGAGCTGCCAAATCATGCATTTTCGTGGGAAATTATATTACTAACAACCCAAGTTACAATGAGCTAAATAAGTGCAAAAAGTGGACTTGAACAATTCATAAATTTCACACTTCGGAGTAAAATTAATTTATGTTTTGTACATGTCCTTTTCGAGGAATTTATGAATATTATACATCTCATTTATAATTGTCATACTCTTATTTTATGGCCATATAGAATCATTCTGATACTCATAGCATCTTTCTGTTTCACCTGAAACATCTCGGGGTTGAGAAGAAATGAGATGTCATGGTTATCATGATGATATAGAATATACGATAGTAACTGCAAGGACGTGCTACGACAGGATGGTACTCCAGAACTTAATAAATACAATATTACATTTTTGATGAACATTATTCAGTGTCATGTGTCATATCGTGTAGTCTCATTCATAGCCTTATGCGTGTCCTTTGCAAAGTTTCTATTTTTATGCATAATCGTTAGTGCATTCATAGTCATTTACAACGTTTCTAAAGTCTAACAATGACCGCTAGTGCATTAATAGTCTAGCTTATGTGTGTCCTTTACAACTTTTCTATAGTTAAACATTATTCATGTCCGTCGGTGCATTCCTAGTCTAACTTATGCATGTCCTTTACAGCTTTTCTATAGTCTAACATTATTCATGTCCGTTAGTGCATTCGTAGTCTAACTTATACGTGTCCTTAACAACTTGTCTATAGTCTAACATTAGTCATGTCCGTTAGCGCATTCGCACTTTAACTTATGTGTGTCCTTTACAACCGTTTTCTATAGTCTAACATTATTCATGTCTGTTAGCGCATTCGTAGTTCTACTTATGCGTGTCCTTTACAACTTTTCTATAGTCTAACATTATTCATGTCCGTTAGCGCATTCGTAGTTTAACTTATGTGTGTCCTTTACAACTTTTCTATAGTCTAACATTATGTATGTCCGTTAGCGCATTCGTAGTTTAACTTATGTGTGTCCTTTACAACTTTTCTATAGTCTAACATTATTCATGTCCGTTAGCGCATTCGTAGTTTAACTTATGTGTGTCCTTTACAATATGTCTATAGTCTAACATTATGTATGTCCGTTAGTGCATTCGTAGTGCAAAGGGCATTTACGAGCATGTTAAAAGCTAGATGTGTAACGATTGGCATAGGCAAAGTTATCCGACTTTCTACTTTTGGAATAACTTATATAATGTAATGTTGATAGATCCTGCTTATAATACTCGTTTACCTATAACCAATACGTGAAACAATGTTGACTCAAGATTTTTTTTCTAAAGTAAGCAAGACAATTTATTATTAACACAATCCCAATAGGTGTGCAAAAGGATATAGGAGTACACGTATAATTAAAAATCTGTACGACACACCTTCCAAAATTGAACGTTTTCATCATAATAGAAATTGCATTTTAAGTATCCATGTACAGTAGCTTTAACTTTTAATGATGGTTCTTCTTGAAATAAATACAGGCATGGGCTCTACCACCTGGGTGTGAAACTAAAATCCAGAGGCTATCGGAGCTCTTCTTCTTGGTAGAGGCCATGGTCGGTATAGGCCAGTCTGAATCAGTGAGGACGAAAATAATGAGATTATATATTGCCAATCTCAGATCATTAAAATGAAAGTGCAACAAATCATATATAACCCGACAGCATAATGCACTAATATCATGATTTATGTGACCTTGTGTTTAGTGACAGCAGTATGTATTTTGCGGGGTATCTACAGGGTGGTCAAAAATGGAAACTCTTACACCATTTTCCTCATATCTTTGTCATTTTAAAAAACAACTCCCTGATATTTTACTCATTTGTACATTATTCAATTACCTACCAGCCTAATATATTTTATTACGATCAGATTGATAGTCACAATATTACAGCACTTTAAAGAGCATGCCCCAGTGGCCACTATTGCGGTGTCGGGAAACCTACACTCGTCGTCCAAAATGTCCTACCTGTGGGGAAATTGCAGAGACAGAGTGTATTAGAATGACCTTAGGACAAAGGCAAACCTAAAAGGTGAGACCATCCATGTCATTCAGGTCATACATGCTTAGGAATGCATTCGGGTCATTGCCTACAGCGCGATGAGGGCCAAACCTGAAGCATATTATTCAAAGTGATGTAAAATTGTGACTATCAGTCTGATGGTCATGAAATATAATAAGTTGGTAGGAAATTGAATTATGTACAAATGTGTGAAATATCAGGGAGTAATTCTTTAAAATGACAAAGATATAAGGAAAATGCAGGGTTTCCGTTTTTGACCACCCTGTAGTTCAGTCATCATTTGCAAATTACATTGCACTACCCATGATAGTGAAATTACCTCATCATAATAATTCTATGAGACTGCAAATGCCCCAAAATAACAAGTAGAATTGTCAATTTTAACAGATCTTGTCAAGTCTTTATGATGGCTTGAAAGCACCCCTAGTCTAATTGTGGAACCTCGTTTTAATCTAACAACGCCACCTATATAGTTTGTGTTATAGTTTTCCACAGTTTTGGAACTCTCTGGATGTCCTGGGGCAGATCGTGAACACATAACAGGTCGTTCTCTACAGTTGGTGCTTTTACAGGGACGCTCATAGGTGTCAGCCACATACAAACAGTGGCCCATCTCAATGTTTTGAGCGTGGAAGAATACCTGCCCGTAGATATAATAGTTCCTAGTGTATTGGATGCCGATGTACGTCTCGATTGAACCACGTGATCCTTGGTGCGGAGAATCTGTGTAAAGTTTCATATTAGACCTTGATTTCGCAGTCCAATTACACTGAATATTTCCTACAACCGTCAATATCAAAGAATCGTTAGGTGTGTTATTCTCCCATCTCCCAGTCCCATCCATTGACATTAATAACAGAAGTCTGGTGCACATTACAAACCAAGCATTTTACTTTACTAAAAATGTTATGTTTTTGAAAATTGCCCCAAAAATATACTATGATTACGACCTGGATTCGTTCAAAATATGCATTTTGTTGATGTTGCACTGGTATCTTTGACCAGGCGAAGGAATGGTCCCATAGCTTACCATTTAAATCGAATCGCCCCGAGAGAGCATATGGACTCTTCATTACTGGAACAGCATGTATGTTGATTTTCTGGAAAGAATAGACAAGGGCATATCACACATTAAAAATAGATTATGTTTGAACATCGAAGTTTGTTTGACGTCGCAGCTACTCATCATACAATGCACCTTTTGTCATTTTGTAATTATAAATAAAACAACTAAATGGCATTTTGGTTCAAGTTGTCTTAGTTTAGTCTTCTGCGCATGGTATGATGTCGGAATCAAGATGTAACAATACTTGCAAAAAGTTCACTCTCCGTTTCGTGGAGCATATCATAATCACTTGTCCTGATTTTGTAAATCACAAATAAAAATGAAGACATCACAATATATAAGATCGTTTGAAAACTAAGAAACGCTAGCTTACCTTATTTTTCCTGGATTTGCGTGTTGCTCGACGAAGCCTAGATTTCTTTGCGTTCCCCTTGAATTTAGATTCAGGTATTATTCGTTTTCTAAAACTTGTTTCCGCATTATTTTGATTCAGAAAAGTCAATGATTGCGGTTTAGAGGAGTGGGAATCCCCTAATTTTTCTAGGCTTGTTTCGAAAATAGTCCCTTCAAAATGTTCACCCCTATGCTTGATCGAAGAGTTCTGAATTTGCTCCACATAAGATGCTGCGATTGTTACTAAAAAGATAAATTTTGTGTTGATAATCTTCATTTTTTAAGAATATGCAAATCATCTAATATTCATATTTTGCTTCCTGGATTGCAATCGTCAAACTGATATGGCCCTAGCCTATAGTACACAAACAAATCGAAACAACCACACTTGAGTCTTTGCAATCGTCAAACTGATCGAAACAACCTCACTTGAGTTTGGGATATTGACCAAAAGGGATACCCTCCCAGGTCTCAGGTTTTAGCCATGTGACTTTTTTTCAACCAATGCACTGACAAGCTCTTAAATCTATTGTTCATATTTTGAAGGTCATTTGCATGTTCTTCAATGGCATATTGATGAGGTGATTCTACATAAATCAAGGGACACCTATTTACAATATGTCATTTTGACATCAGGCCACTCAAAAATTTGTTTAACATATCAAGTTTTATTTGAGTTCGGTTCATTGGCAAAATATAATTGTGTTTTCTGATGGGACTTCTTAAAAGATACTTTTTTTAAAATCTTTTGTAACAATAAACGTTTACGCTTTCTTCTAGAATATGTTCGCCATAAAATGGCAATAATCGAACGCGGATGGAAATAATCACGAGAAAGATTACTGCGAGGGGCCATATCACCATGGACAGAGCGGTCACAGCAATGAAGCTGATGTTTTATCATGTACGATAATTTTTTTGGTGCCCAGCCTGCTCCCCCTGGTTGGTGATATGAATTTCCTATCGGGTTTCTGTTTATTTCCCTCAACATTTATACTAATTGTAGACGTGGTCCTTATTCTTCTTCGTTTTGTTCGGTACAGGGACAAATTGTCATTGCTTGCTCTTCTCTTTAATGCCTGATTCAAATAAACATCCTCGATAGAAAAGTATAAAACATAAATACGTTGCGCTTTACAATACAGAGAAAGTTGGTGCCACATTTCCCATGTTATTTTCCCATAGGGAAAACTCATGCTATCCATTGTTTTCAGCATTATTTTGGTCATCGAAAATTGATATCTTCAAAACAAGACTTTCAATACCATTCTACTCTTGAAGATGTTTTAGACCCCTTGTTGATTAATGTTTTCATACAATAAAAATCAGAAAAGAAGATCCTCTTTTGAGCAAATAAGTTCAACATTTTGAAAAAATTGTTGACGTGGGGTCCCTATTAATAATTTTTTGAATTGCTGATCCCCAAAATAGATACGTGGGTATGAAGAAGAACATCTTAGGTAGAAGTCAAGTTATGTTCGTTTGTAAAATATAGACTATTCCTAACTTTTTGCTCCATTCTAAGGAATGTTGCATCCCATGTTCTTACAAAACACGCCTAAATCGTTTGAAAAAACTAATTTCAGTCCATGATGTTGCCTAGGAACCACCTAGCAACGGCAAAAACATCGAAATAGTGAAATTGAAAAGTTGGGGGTAGGGGAGAATAAAAAATATTATCTTAAATTTGGAAAGTGGTATCATCATAATTCTATTGCTACATTGATTCAGGGGCATAGATAGGGTAAAAAAA